TGATCAGCGTGTCATTGGACACAGCTGATCACGTGGTAAAAGGCCGCTGTGATTGGCCTTTTACCATGTCACGTGATCAGCTGTGTCCATAGGACACAGCGATCACGAAGATCGCTGGGGGCGCGCAGGAGAGTGCGTTCTGGGAGGACATCATATGACATCCAACCAGAACTGGCCGGCTGCAGTGCAGCCGTCATTCGGCTCACTGCGGTCGGCAAGTAGTTAAAATGATACTAAACCCAGGATCCTGCATTCACTATATCTGGTCTCCCACAGTACACAGAACATGGATATGCAATTATTTCAGTAAATATAAAGGTATGCTAAATACCTTTTCTCATCAGCAGTTAGAGCAGTTTTGTGACTTCTATCAGTGTCCATCTGAGCAAATGTTAAAGCTTACAGGAGGAGTTTTCATTCTCCTCTAAATGCCCTATGAGATTGCATAACCCCTGACCTCAGTCTTGATAGTGCTGATCACATGCATTCTCCCAAGAAAAAGGAAAAACTCTAGCAGTACACACCAAACTGAGCATGTGCAGAGTGTCCCCGTGGCTGTGTTCTATCGGGAGGTGAAATGGGGAACTTGTAAGAAGGGGAGGATCAGAGAAGACAGGATCAAACATCCTTTTTACACAATGTCGAGGATTAACCCCTTAAGTTCCACAGTGAATATAACAGGCATGCTTTACTGCACATACGGACTGATTTTACTGTTGTGGGTTTAGTAACACTTTAAGTATAGTGAGTGCCGGTTCACATATATGCGGATTGGATGTGATTTGAACCGCATCCAATCCACATGACGTGAAAAAACATTGCTTCCTAAGGTGCCTGTTCACATATGTCTGGTGCACATGCGGTACAGATTCAGTGCGGTTTTAAAAAGAGTCCTGTCCGATTTCTGAGCAGTGCCTTCAGGTTCAGGTAGGGATTACAGGCTATTGACTTCTTTGGGAACTGTTTCCAAATCGGAAATGTGTGAACTGGATAAGATCCTGACCTTATTGCATCCCGAACCTGATATAAAGCTGACATGAACCGCTGAACAACTACTGTATCAGTTAGCTGTGAAACCTGAGCTTCAATCCGCACCGCACATGTATGATTCACCTAGGTTGTCACCCTAGGACAGGGTGGTTCTAGGTGTATTACTTGCAGGAGCACCAGATATAAATAAAGGGGAGAAAGCCTGGCAAAAATATATTAAAGTGGAAGTAAAGGCAAATCCTAACTAACTCTAAACCTACTCTCAGCCACATTCTAAGCCCAATCTAGCTAGCCCTGTAAAGAAAAAATTGCTATACTTAGCGTATCTGCAGTCGCTCCGTTCTTGTCCCAGACTGAACTGTCAGCGGCGGCTTCAGTGTGTAGGAGTGTGAAGGACAGACAGCTGACAACGGAAGCCCCATAGTAAGCTATTGGTGACGTCACTTCCCAGGCATTTCCCAGCTGTTATCGGCTGTCTCCAGCACACAGAGGGCACCGCAGGAGAACAGGTAAGTAGAGCGACTTTCTTTCTTTACAAGGCTACATAAATTAGGCTTAAAATGTGGCTGAGAGTAGGTTTAGCGTTTGTTAGGCTTTGCCTTTACTTATACTTTAAATGTTTTGTTTTTTTCAGATACACTTTAGGTGCAGAGTAATCCCCAAGGACCAGACACCTAGTACAATAGCAACAAAATGGTCTGTGATGAGTTTATAATCTGACACTATTAGCCACATGGAAGAAAAATATGTTTGAAATATATTTTAAAAATATTCTTCCCAAATATATTGCCATATATTTGAAACGCTACAATTTTGGCCATATTCACTATATTTAAAAAAAAATTATATATATATATAAATATATTATATATATATATATATATATATATATATATGTGGCAGTACGGTATCCTGCCACGGTGGAAATCATGATGGACACCCAGGATTCTCAACTATACAGGTTGAGGGGCTCCAGGCAGATCTCATAATGCAGAGGAAACTGGTTTATCAGTTTCCTCTTTGGTTTGTAAAGCCTGTTTTGGGACCTGTAGCCTGGAGATGTCTTAGAGATTTGGGAGGGATGAAATCTCCAATCCTGGGCCCATATTTTGGGAGCAGCCAGCGTGCTGATTGCACAGGTGTGTGCAGGCCTTTTAGGGGAGGCCAGGCCATGATTCTGAGCTCCACCCCGGCAAATAGGAGTCAGGAGGGCTCCACCCCGGCAGATAGGAGTCAGGAGGGCTCCACCCCAGCAGATAGGAGTCAGGAGGGCTCCACCCCAGCAGATAGGAGTCAGGAGGGCTCCGCCAAGGAGAGGTGGAAGCCAAAAGCAGCAAGGAGCTGTTTGAGAATAGCTGTGTGCTAAAACAACCCTGTGGAAGAAGTCTGTGGGAGACAGATATAGAGCGGTATAGCTGAGAGAGCCAGGAGGCTGAATTTTGTTTGTGGATGATCGATACCCCTGTGTGGGAAACTTCTGTTTTGAACTTTCATTTAAATAAAAGTGGGCTAAAAAAAGCCTTAAAAAAGAAAGCGAGTAGCTGTATGTGTTTAAAAGCTCTACCACTTTGAAGCGAGTTCCCACAATATATACACATATACATACACACACACATACAGTGAAGGAAATAAGTATTTGATCCCCTGCTGATTTTGAATGTTTGCCCACCCACAAAGAAATTATCAGTCTAAAAATGTAATGGTAGGTGTATTGTAACACTGAGAGACAGAATAGCAACAAAAAAATTCAAAGGAAATGCTTGTCTAACAAATTATGCACTAATTTGCATGTTCATGAGGGACATACTGTAACTATATGATCCCCTATAAATCAGCAGGATTTCTGGCTACCAAGTGTCTTTCATACAGGTCACAAGCTGAGATTAGAAGCAGTCTCTTAAAGGGAGTGCTGCTAATCTCATTTTGTTACCTGTATAAAAGACACCTGTCCACAGGAGTAATCAAACAGTCAGATTCCAAACTCTCCACCATGGCAAAGACCAAAGAGCTGTCCAAGGATGTCAGGTACAAGATTTTAGACCTACACAAGGCTGGACTGGGCTACCAAACTATCGCCAAGCAGCTTGGTGAGAAGGTGACAACAGTTGGTGCAATCATTCGCAAATGGAAGAAACACAAAACAACTGTCAGTCTCCCTAGGTCTGGTGCACCATGCAAGATTTCACCTCGTGGAGTGTCAATGACCATGAGAACGGTCAGGAATCATCCCAGAATCATCCCAGAGCTAAGTCCAGGGCAATTTTTGCTATGGGCCTCAGGGTCTAGCCAGTGTACAATTACACTGCCACTTATTTATTTATTTATTTTTCCCTCACTGTTTTGTCACCTTTACTTTTGCATGTGTTTTTTTTCTCACTTGGATGGAGGGTGTGGGTCCTCAGTCCCTGAAGTCTAGGGGGAGGATGTGTGGCCATTAGGTTCTCTCCTCCCCTGTTCCTGGGGGGGTCTCTGTTTGGGAGAGCTCTCTGACCTAGTACTTGGTGGTCAGCTTCGGCTAGCCAGAATGAAAAGGGGTTTGCCGGGCCTTTTTGCTAGGTGGACCATGTTGGAAACCCTTTGTCCCTGTTAAGAGCCTTGCTCCCCGGTGGATCAGGGTAGAGGTCCTACCCCTTTCGGGGGTGGACAAAAACACACCCCTAAGTGCACTCTTTTGTGTTTTTCACTTGCATGTTTCTTGTTCACTTATGGGTTTTTAGTTTTTTTTCACCTCCGCAGACTTAAAAATAAAAATAAGACATTTTTGTACCGTTCTTTTAATGGCTTTCTACACAGAAAGTCAGATTGTTCTCTGATATGCCATCTTCTTTAAAAACATCTTCTCTTCTGATTTTTCCCAAACTTTAACACATTTCTCTTTGAATGTCCTTCACATGAACCAGTATTTTGAGAATTTTGTCTCTTTGAAAGACATTCTTGATTCAAGAGTGGTTTCTCCATGCTGACGACCGTACACAGAGGAGCAGAGAAAGAAAAACACATCTTGTAGACAGAGGAGGATGTTAAATAAACTTTATTGATCGCATGAAGTCTGTTCACAGTTTGATGATCAAATATGAACAAGAAAGTATCGACTGGGCTTCTTGGGTCGCCTCTGTTTTCAAACTGATTGAGTCTTGAGTTATAAGGATGAAAAGGAGCTCATATCTCAGCCACCAATGCACTATGGGGCCAAGCAACTACTTGTTTTATGCTTTCAAGGATCAATATACTCAAAGTGATATTTCAGTTGTTAGTTTATGCAGCAGAGTTCAACAACTTGAGAATTCTAAACTTGGGAGATGTGTCTTGAAAATAAATATAAAAGTTTCACATACAATATCTCCTACATTCAGCAGCTTTCCCCACCTCTGCTTCTCCTGTCGCTATTATCTGCAATTTCCAGCTGTTAAAATTGCTGTTTTGCATCGGAGGAGCAGCTGTTAAAATGCTGCTTTCAGTGTAACGTGACATTTGAAGATAGTCTGCAAGTGTCATTGAGTAATACAGTGTAACCCCAGCTTGTTACATTGTATTTACTATTTTATTCATATTTAGGTCAACAGTGTACATAAAGGGGTTAATTCATATGCATCCCTATTTACTCCTTATTAACCCTTAGTTAACCTTACCCGCCTCCTGTCCGCCATATAAGGTAATGATGGGCGCAAGGCGGTTCTCTCATTTTGGGAGGACGTCATATGACGTACTCCCATGCTAACCGCGCATGTGCGGCTCCGGTTGCGCGCAGCGTGGCGATCAGTGGTACGCTGTGTCCCAGAAAGGGCCGAAGATGTCGGCTCGGTCATGCGATTAACTGTGTCCAATCACAGCTGATCGCATGTAAATAGGGAAATGCCGGTTATCGGCATTTCTCTCCTCACGAGCTGTCACGCTGACAGCCCGTGAGGAGTGGAGAGCCGGTAATGGCATCCCTTCAGAGGGGACATCTACACTGATCATCAGGGCACTGATGATCAGAGTGCCCTGATGATCAGTGTAGCCCCAGCAGTGCCACCTGTCAGTGTCCATCAGTGCCAGCTGTCAGTGCTCATCCATGCCACCTGCCAGTGCCCATCAGTGCCACATCAATGCCACATATCAGTGCCTACCAGTGCACATCAATGCCACATATCAGTGCCCATCTGAGCTACCTTTCAGTGTCACCTATCAGTGCCAGTCAGTGCTGCATATTAGTGCCAGTCAGTGCTGCCTAACAGTGCCAGTCAGTGCCACCTAACAGTGCCAGCCAATGCCACCTATCAGTGCCATATATGAGTGCTGCCTTTCAGTGCCACCTACCAGTGCCTCCTCATTAGTGCCCATCAGTGCCACCTATCAGTGTGTATCAGTGCAGCCTATCAGTGCCCATCACTGTAGCCTCATTAGCGCACATCAGTGAAGGAGAAAAATCATTTATTTACAAAATTTTATAACAAAAACTAAGAAAAAACATTTTTTTTTCAAAATTTTCAGTGGTTTTTGGTTTGTTTAGCAAAAAATAAAAAAAACCCAGAGGTGATTAAATACCACCAAAAGAAATCTCTGTCTCAAAAAAAATGACAAAAATTTCTTATGGGTACAGTGTTGCATGACCGCGCAATTGTCATTCAACATGTGACAGTGCTGAAAGCTGAAAATTGGCCTGGACAGGAAGGGGGTAGAAGTGCCCGGCAGGCAAGTGGTTAATTAACTCCAACCTCCCTCCTCCCCTTAACAATTATTTTTCTGATCATTTATCTCTTTTTTTACAGTTAATATTTACATTTAATTTACAGTACAACTAGATTTACATTAACACTAGTCAAAATAGAAGAAAATGTTTTCTTCTATTTTTGTTTACATATTTTTTTATATATTACATAGTAAATATAATAATTTTGCACAACCGTTTTGGCGGAAGAACTCCTAATTTCTTCACCTCCCCTCAAAAACAATGACTGTATTTCTTTATTATCTTAAAGTGTTACTAAACCCACAACAGTAAACTCAGTCTGTATGTGCAGTAAAGCATTCTTGTTATACTCACTGTGGAACCTAAGGGGTTAATCCGCTGCATTATGTAAAAAGGCTGATTGATCCTGTCTTCTCTGATCCTCCCCATCAATCAATCTTTCCAAAACTGATCTTTCCATCAAGATCAATAACACAATCATCAGTCCCTCCCCCCATGCCAGGGTACTAGGTGTAATCCTAGACTCCCACCTGTCCTTTCAGCCCCAAATCCAATCACTGTCCAAATCTTGTAGACTTCACCTCCGCAACATCTCCAAGATACAGCCGTTCCTAACCTCGGAAACCACTAAGCAACTTATTCACTCCATGGTTATCTCTCGCCTTGACTATTGTAACTCCCTCCTCATTGGCCTACCTCATCGCAGGCTATCCCCTCTTCAGTCTATCATGAATGCTGCTGCCAGACTCATCCACCTTACTAACCGTTCTGTATCTGCCACCCATCTCTACCAATCCCTCCATTGGCTTCCCATTGCCCAACGGATAAAATTCAAAACATTAACAATAACGTATAAAGCCATTTAAAACTCTGCCCCAAATTACGTCACCGATCCTGTCTCTAAATATCACCCAAACCGTACTCTCCGCTCCTCGTAAGACCTCCTGCTCTCTAGCTCTCTTGTCTCCTCCTCCCATTCTCATCTCCAGGACTTTCCCAGAGCTTCCCCCATCCTCTGGAACTCTCTACCCCAATTTATCAGACTATCGCCTACTCTGCTCACTTTTAGACGATCTCTGAAAACCTATCTCTTCAGGGAAGCCTATCCTGCCCCTCAGCTAATAATGGAATCTTCTACTCTTCCAACCAGTCCATCCCCCACAGTTACTACCTTTTGTACCACTAGCCCCTCCCTCCTAGATTGTAAGCTCCAAGGAGCAGGGCCCCTCCTTTCCCACTTGTATTGAACTGTATAGTTGCTGTATTGTCTCCTGTTATATTGTAAAGCGCTGAGCAAACTGTTGACGCTATATAAATCCTGTATAATAATAATAATAGAGGTATAAGAGTCACATATAGAGGTTTAAGTGGTCACGTGAACTTGAATTCATTTTAAAATAAGGGGTTTAAATTTGGCGAATGTAAATTCCGTAATGTATAATTCCTTCTTTCTGTTTCTGCCAGGCTTTAGGTTCTTGAATTGCACTGAAACCTGAAAGAGGTTCAGAAGATTTTGCAAAGTGCTGCTTATGTTAAAGAAAGTCTATAATGGTTTGGGTCAATTTGATTTATTTTTAATGTTTAATTCACCCTATGCATAACTTTTTCCTGCAGTCTTCTGGCCATTCACGCTGACTTCCCATGGCCCTCTTCCTCCTCTAATGATAGCGGCAGACAGTGTTCAATACTGCATATTATGAAGTCAGTTCTGCTCTCTGCAGTAGTACTCTAAGCCCAGGCCAAGGTGGTTACTTACCTCCATGGTGTGTCCATGACCATCTGAGCTCGCTGGAAATTTGTGAAATGATGCTGTCTGTCATTTACCCAAAAAAAGACCAATGGCAGAGCAATGAGTATATAGGAGGAGGACAGCGCTGGTTACCAGATGAGTATTTCTGCAAAGGATGCATTTCCTTAAAGCCTGGGCAGCAAATTTACAAAAAAAGCAACATTCTGCTTTAATAGAGGATACACCCATGGCATAGGAGTTCCAGAGCACTGTGGGTTTTCTAAAGAGAACACAGCAGCAGCTGTTCCCTTTCACACCCTCCGTGTCTGGTTGAAACATCCAATGGAGCCCTACAGAGTGAAATGAATAGGGGGCAGAAACCACTGCTTTGACTCATAGGGGTTGATTTACTAAAGGAAAATAGGCTGTGCACTGAAAATGTAGGTGCTCTAGATCTGAGGGGAACATGCAAGGAACACAGCATTTGTGCTTGCACATGATTGGATGAAAGAAATCAGCAGAGCTTCACCTCATTTCAGAGCTTCCCCTCGGATATAAAGCAACTGCACTTCCAGTGCTCAGTATGTTTGCCTTTCGTAAATCAACCACATTGTGTTTTAGGTTGAGATACAGGGCTCTCTAAACAACAGTCTTCTTTCAACATAAGGTAAAAGATGAAAAAGATGTAAAACCTAAAGTTCCACCTGCTGGAAGAAAAAGAGAATACATACCTTACATATTAAAAAAATAAAAAATGTTATGTTTTAGCCCTGGCTATTACTAAATGAGTCAGATCTCCTCCCTCCGTTTGAGGTTTCAATGAGAGTCAGAGTGCAGGAATAGAAACTACATCTGCTGTTGATTCTGCAGGAGGTCGTAGTGCTGCTCCCCACCTGCCACACAGGTAAGTATTAACAGTTTTCGTTTGCGAAGGGCAGTTTTATACATTTTGTAAGGCTACAGAGTTGCTTTGAGGAACGATTTTGGCTGATTCTGTACCTGACCATTGCAATCTCCCTGTCTCTTCAGGGTTTGAAGACCTGCCCACCTGTCCCATCCCAGAAGTTCCTGAAAATGGATACAGAACACAAAGCATTAGCGTCTTCTTTGAAAATTCCGTGGTCCGGTTCCACTGCCAGAATGGTTACAGACTCAAGGGCCCTTCAAAGAAGATGTGCATTTTGCTTAACAACGGATCTTTGTCGTGGAGGCCAAGTGACACTCCGGTGTGCCTAGAAGAAGGTAGGATGTGGACTGATGCTATAAACGTTATGCAGCGTTGGTTCCTGGCTGAGAAGAGTATTTATTTTCATGTATACCAGAGGCAGTGCCCCTTTTTTTCCCATTGTAGGTGATCCACACATCAGGTTTTAGGTGTAGGACAGCACCTCTCCATAATGGCCATGTGCTTTCTCTGGTGTTAGCTCTGAGTGGGGGCACTAGGGGGAAAGCGTATGTAAGAGTGCTTAGTTCAACTTATTTCAGTGTTTGTCTTAAGGGTATTTTTATAGAACTCACCTTTTTACAGACTTGCTGTTATCACATTAAGGCTCCATGCACACTAGCATTTATTTAAGCTCCTAGAAGCTGTTATCAGCATTTTTTTTAGCTCCTAGAAGCTATCTAGTGTTATCCTATGTGCCATGCACACACTTTAGGCTATTAGCATTTTTTGAGCTTCAGTGTCTAAGAGCAGAAAAAAAATAGTTTTTGTAGAAATGTTTTGGAGCGTTTTTCTAGCAGTATAAAATCATAAACGCTACTAAAACGCTCCTAACAGCTTTTTTCACCTCTACATGTAGTGTAAAAATGCTAATAAAACACTAATGCTCCTAAATGCTTCTGAACGCTAGTAAAAAACGCTATTACCAGTGTTTTTTTATCCAGCATTTTTTAGCTTAAAAAAACACTAGGGTGCATGGAGCCTCTAAATATTTGCAGACTAGAGAGTAGAGACATCTCTTTCAGGGTTAGTAAAATGACTCTGTCTTCCATTTTACAATTGTGGAAAGATGTCACAAGCCACACAGGGAGTAGATAGAAACTTAGTTGGCTGACTCTCAAACTTACAGTTGCAAGAAAAAGTATGTGAACCCCTTGGGATTACGTGGAGTTTTGCATGAATTGGGCATAAAATGTGCTCTGAACGTCATCTAAGTCACAACAATAGAAGAACACAGTCTGCTGAACATAATACTACACAAACATTAGATGTTGCCATGGTTTAATTGCACATAACATGTAAACATTCACAGTGCAGGGAGGAAAAAGTATGTAAACCTTTGGACTTAATAACTGGTTGACCCTCCTTTGGCAGCAATAACCTCAACCAAACGTTTCCTGTAGTTGCAGATCAGACCTGCACAACGATCTGGAGTACTCTTGGACCACACCTCTTCACAAAACTGCTTCAGTGTAGCAATATTCTTGTGATGTCTGGTGTGAATCGCTCTCTTAAGGTCATGCCACAGCATTTCAATCAGTTGAGGTCAGGACTCTGACTGGGCCACTCCAGAAGGCGTATTCTGTGCTGTTGCAGCCATTGTTTTGTTGAATTACTTGTATGCTTTGGGTCATTGTCCTGTTGCATCACCCATCCTCTGCGGAGCTTCAGTTGGCGGACAGATGGTCATACGTTTTCCTGCAAAATGTCTTGATAAACTCTGGAATTCATTTTCCCATCAATGACAACAATCCGTCCAGGCCCTGAGGCAGCAAAGCAGCCCCAAACCATGATGCTCCCTCCGCCATGTTTTACAGTGGGGATGAGGTTTTGATGTTGGTGTGCTGTGCCTTTTTTTCTCCACACATAGTGTTGTGTGTTCTTCCCAAACAACTCAATCTTGGTTTCATCTGTCCACAATATATTTTGCCAGTAGTGCTGTGGAACATCTAGGTGCTCTTTTGCAAACTTCAAACATGCTGCAATATTCTTTTTGGACAGCAATGGCTTCCTCCGTGGTGTCCTCCCATGTACTCCATTCTTGTTTAATGTTTTCCTTATTGTAGATGTGTCAACAAAAATGTTAGCATGTGCCAGAGATTTCTGTAGGTCTTTAGCTGACACTCTGGGATTCTTCTTTACCTCATGCAGCATTCTGCGCTGTGCTCTTGCAGTCATTTTTTACAGGACGACCACGCCTAGGGAGAGTAGCAACAGTGCTAAACTTTCTCCATTTGTAGACAGTCTGTCTTACCGTGGACACATGAACATCAAGGCTTTTGGAGATACTTTTGTAACCCCTTCCAGCTTCATGCAAGTCAACAATTCTTGATCGTAGGCCTTCTGAGAGCTCTTTTCTGCGAGGCATGGTTCACATCAGACAGTGCTTCTTGAAACCAGTAAACCCAAAACAGGTGTGTGTTTTTTTAAGGGCAGGACAGCTGTCAGCAACACATCCAATATCATCACATTGATTGGAGTCAAGGTTGACTCACTCCTGGCTCCAATTAGCTCTGGGAGAAGTCATTAAGCTAGGGCCTCACATACTTTTTCCTCCCTGCACTGTGAATGTTTACATGTTATGTGCAATTAAACCATGGCAACATCTAATGTTAGTGTAGTATTATGTTCAGCAGACTGTGTTCTTCTATTGTTGTGACTTAGATGACGTTCAGAGCACATTTTATGCCCAATTCATGCAAAACTCCACGTAATCCCAAGGGGTTCACATACTTTTTCTTGCAACTGTACATTGGGTGAAGGAACACTTGAAAAGAAAGGTAGAGTGTATTTTTAATGAGCTCATATTTAGAGTTTTATTGCAGCATTTAGTTTTTTTTGTTTTATGTGATATTTAATTTTTTTTATTTTTTCATATTTTGCTTGTTTCTTAAATATGGAAATATGAAAATGAACAACATGAAGGAAGCATTAGTGACTCTAAGTTTCTCTTGTGATCATTCAGCAATGCAGCTAGGGTTAGCCTGGTATTGGATTAAAAAATGTTTTGCACATTTTTTTGTCCTGAACTTTATAAAGAAAGAAATTAAAAAAAAAAACAACCACATCGTCTTTAAAATGGAACTCATGGCTTGCCAAAAATATTAAGAAAGACCCGCCCCCCCCCCCCCCCCATATATATGTAGGATATAATGATAATTTAGTCCAGGAGGCTCTAATAGAGAAAATTAATAATCCATTGTCCTGCAGTCCTCTTTTCTGCAACCAGTCCAAAGCTTCTCCTCTTCTCAGGTCATGTAGTATAGGAATAAGCTAAATATTGTACTGTAGTAGAGCCCCCATAGACAGAATGAGTGATAAATCCTGCAAAGGTTTCCTGCTAATACTAGGCCCATGTTGATTTTTTTTTTTTTCCAAAATAATGCTGCAGGGGCCCTGATATCAACGACTGGAAAGGCTAGCTTCATTTGTCAGCATGACAGGTTTACTTTAGGATGCCTGCAGAGTCACAGGGCCCTGTAATGATGTATCCGCAATACCCATGAATTTTAGTTACTTGAAAGCTTCTTACTCCGTGAACCCTGCAAATAGCAGATGTGGTGTGACACGCTGGAAAACGTTGTCGGAAATGGAAAGAAAATGTAATTCTGAGCCTGCCGTATTATTATAGCTGGGAGTCTCTAGGCAGATGGAGGGGATCTGATTGGCTGGAGGGCTCCATGAAAGCCTGTTAGAGATGGAGCGAATTATATGGTGAGAGGATAAGTTGTTCTGACCTCGCTGACACATGACGGCGATCTGAATAGATGAAGACCAGAATTCCTCTATATAATGCCATTCTTTTGATGTCTTCAAAACAGAATATCTGAAGGCCAAACACTTCCATGGTTCACGGAATTCACTGGGGGCCCTGAAATATACAGCCATCGTGCATTGGGGGTGCTGATAAAGAAAACTGCTCATTTAAAGTATAACCAAAGGCAAAACTTCTTTTTTTTTTTTTAGTTTTGGATAGAGTAGAGGCATTAGAACGCCTGTCATTTTTTACGGCTCTCTGAGCCTCTGTAATGCTGGCCACACACACTTCAGTTTTCCTATTTGATTGATATGCAGTTTGATCAAAATGATCGAATCCACAGACAATCACATAGTCCAGGGCTTGACAAATCTCAGGCACCAGGTCTCCATGGTGACCAGAAATTGTGTCCTGGCACTTGGGCTTTTGTCAGCCATCCGCATCTGCCTCCCACTTGCTTTAGCTGAAAGACGGCTGCAGTGCAGGTGTCCAGTTCTGGGAGGGTGTCTGTTGACATTCTCCCAGAACTCCACCCTCGCATGCACCACCGCGGCACGCATCAGGCGTGCTCTGTAATCACTGTGTCCTTCAGACACAGTTGATCATAGATCAAGGAAAAGGGCCAATCACAGCAGCCCTTTACCATGTGATCAGCTGTGGCCAGTCACATGTAGACAAATGTTGGCTATCAGCATTTCTTTTCCTCAGCGCTGTCACAGCATGAGGAAGGCAAAGCCAATAACCAGCTATCATGTGACAGCAGGGCTGGATCTAGGAGGGTCCTGGGGTGGGCTATCTCCCACCAGATTTTGGTTGTGCCCTCCCCCCCCCCCCCCCCAAAGTCAACCGCCAGCCCTCCACCCCAAACACTCTGCCTGCCTGCCTGCTGAACCATACTGTAGACAACTGCCCTTTTCTTGCAGCTTTGTAAATGTACTGACCTGCTAAACTGATGATCTGCTCAGCAGGTGGCCCAGTGGAGTGGGGAAGGTTGCCTGTACCACTCCCCTGTCCTTTCCTGGAGAAGGAGCTCTGCTGCCTGTGACCAGGCTGTCTGAAGTGCAGGGAAGGGACAAGGAGAAGGAGCTTTGCTGAGTGCCCTGGCAGCAGTGACCCCTGTCCTCTGCCCTGCCAGCAGTGACCCCTGTCCTCTGCCCTGCCAGCATTGACCCTTGTCCTCTGCCCTGCCAGCAGTGACCCCTGTCCTCTGCCCTGCCAGCAGTGACCCCTGTCCTTTGCTCTGTTGTCTTCTGTTCACTGCCCTACATAATGCCAACCCTATTATTTGCCCTGCTGACCCTTTGAACACTGCCCTGCTGATATCCCACCTTCTGACCCCCTTACATTTCAAACTACACCCCCACATCGGACAGGTTAGATCCTGCACTGTGTGTCAGGGGACATTTACACTGATAAACAGGGCAGTGATCATCAATGTGACAGACCCAAATCAGAACAGGGGCTTTTGGAGGGGACTAGGGGCTAGCCCATGGAGGAGAATAGGGATTTTGTGTGCTTCTCCCAGTCAGAGCATGGAATAAAGCACAGTTCAGCCTCTGATCCCATGGAGAGAGCAGATCATTCTCTAATGATGGACAAACAACATGATGAATGTCGAGAGGGTTGGATTAATTCTCTGAAGAAAGACAATAAAGCTTTCCTTCTGAAGTGAATGGAAAGGTGTAATGTTAATCTTTTAAAGGTTAATTGTCAGAGGAAATATGGAGGCCCTCCTGCAGACTGGGTTGGAGAAGCTCCTCCACTTAGGACAGAAATATTTATCAAAAATCTCCCTCAAGAAAACTATAAACATAGATTGATTCCACTTTTTCAGACTGTTGAAATATTGTATGAGTTGTGTCATATGATGACTTTTCTAGTGGACAGATTACACAAGTGAAAGCCAAACTCCTGATAGACAGCATGTGTAATGTACTTTGTGTATCCAGGAATGTGGATTTGTTGCTGGACTATCTGTGGTGGGCTCTCTGACTAATCAAGGCTTGTGTGGGTGCCTGGCTGTTGATTAGCTTACTGTTAATTAGATCACTGTTTAATTAGGTTATTGTTAGCTGCTAAGTGTTCATTACATGTACTGTTAGATGCACTGATGATATTACTGTTTAAAGTTTGCATTGTTTAGGATAATGTGATGAAGCTCTTATTTTGTGTGCTATAAACTCTGTGTGAATTTTCAATAAAGTAAGTTGCTGTTTGTACCTAGGCTAGTGTCCTTGTTGATGAATAATATTCTATTTGTGTGATTGGATTATGAGATCACATGGTGGAAACAGGTGCAATCAATAACTTACGATCTTAAGTTACAATCATATCTTAACCATCTATCAAAATCTAGTTGACCGTGTAATATATATCGATAGAATTGGTTGTCGACTATAGATTGTTTATTCCTATAGAAAGAGATTGATTGGAAAAGAAATTGATCATCTATTGAAGAATTTCCTGTTTTGGCTTGGACAGGAAGTGGAGGGAAATCTCCTGAAAAGGAGCAGATGGCAAAAAAGCTGAAAGGGTTTACATTCCTCTCTTACACTATCCAAAATAAAAATTATGTGTTGATCCTGACAGAAATCCAGTGTCCCTGTAGCTTCTTGTACACTGAACTGAAACCTCTAACAATGATTTCAGAATTCCCAGTTATCTATTACAAACTACAGGACACCTCTACATTATGTGATGGAGATGAGAGGGGGATGCTGCTGTTGTAAGACTCACTGTTGTACCCGGGTGCAAATTGACTGATTGTGTTGCATCAATTGGCGGCACTAAAATGCTTAATGAATTTGATTGAATTTCAGTTCATCAGATTATGAGATTACTTGGTGAAAACAGAGATGTGATAATTTATGATTGTATCATACAACTGTCAATCAAAATAGGTTTCCCACCTTTTCTTCAAACCAAACCTGAACATTTTAGCGGCACATGACAACTTTTTTTTCCGTAGTATACACTATAGGGTTGTAAAAGACTTGGAACATCTTTGGGTGCCTCAAAGAGAGCAGTAATATGCAGTATGCGTTCCACAGCAAACTGTGGGTGTGGCCATGCTGTGTGGGAACGGCTTAAAGGGGCATGGTTAGCCACTTGCCCTCCAGAGGATTTACCCGCCTTCCTGACCAGGCCATTTTTTGCGATACTGCATTGCGTTACTTTGACTGACAATTGTACGGTCATGCAGCGCTGCACCCAAATGAAATGTACTTCCTTTTTTCCCACAAATAGAGCTTTCTTTTGGTGATATTTTATCGCCTGTGTGTTTTTAATTTTTTGTGCTATAAACAAAAAAAAGACCGACAATTTTGAGAAAGAAAAAAAAAAAACAATATTTTTGACTTTTTGCTATTAAACATGTCCAGTAAAAAAAATTAAAAAAATAAACATTTTGTCATAAATTTAGGCCAACATGTATTCTGCTACATGTCTTGTGTAAATTAATTGGTTTACGTGAAAGTTACAGCGTTTACAAATGGCGGTATATATACTGGAATTTTAATTTTTTTTTTTACTAGTAACGGTGGTGATCAACGACTTATAGCGGGACTGCGATGGGCATTCTGACAAAGGAGGGGGGGGGGGGGGGGGGACATCCCCAGTGACACCAATACAGTGATCAGTGCTAATAAAAAGCACTGACACTGTACTAATGGCACTGGGCAGGAAGGGGTTAACATCTGGGGCAACCAAAGGGTTAACTCTGTGCGGTTTCACTATGGGGGCTGTGTGATTGGGCTTCACTGTAAGCACACTGCTTTGTATGGCTCTGGAGCCGTACAAAGCAGTGTGCAGGAGCTGACGGGAGTGATCTGTGTTGTTTATACACAGGTCTCTCCTCCGTCAGAGATACTCGGCGATCACCGACCCGGCCAAATGGCGGCACAGTAGGGCGCACACACCCCTACCCGAAACTGCAAAATCACGTATACATGCCGCCCTGTAGCAGTATTTCTGCTATAGGGCGGCGTGAAAGTGGTTAAACAACACAAAAGCATTCTTGTACCCATAAAATATGCTTAGATTGCTGTGCCAAAAGTAAGAGTCTCACAGACATGCATAAACCTCAGCACAATCATTTCAAAAAAATTAAAAAAAGACTAAAAAATAGTCAGGGAGCTAACATTTTATCTGAGCCTACCTTAAAGAAGACCTTCATTAAAATAGTCATTGACTGCTTAGCAACCAGCAACTGTTAAGACAGTGTGCAAATGTCAAGCATATATAATGCATGAGAGGTCATGTAACACACAGTTCTCTAGCTCTATTTAGCACCCGGTCACATCAAGCCCGATTTTGAAATCCTGTGAAGTCGCACGATTTTACAGTCAGGTGACTTGCCGATTTCAGGTGCGATTTGCAAGACATCTGACACAGATGTCTATGCAAATCACACCAAAAGTAGTGCATGTACTAATTTAGAAATCGGTGTGGCACTGACCAAGTTGGAACCGCACCGATATAACCTCTTTAATAGTGGACAATAGGGTGCGACTTTGCATACAATTTGCAAGTCGCATGACATGCGAATTGCATGCCAAGTCGCACCCGATGTGATCGGGGTGTTAATGTCCATTGGGAACACAAATGGGACATGCATTATGCTTTGATTCCTGGGACACAGACATCACAAGACAGATAACTAAAAAGTAGGCCCGATCCAGCAAATCTGGGTCAGTTGGCAAGTATTCACAAAGAAATTTGAAAGAGTGGTAAGATAGGAATGGAACGTTTAAAAGCTAACTTAACCTCTTGCCATCCACATAACGCATGTGAATGCATTGGCTAAGAGGTTGGGCTGTATCGCTCACAAGGCGCACACACACTATATTGACAAACGTATTGGGACGCCTGCCTTTACACACATGAACGTTAACCAGTCTTAGTCTGTGGGGTTCAATATTGAGTTGGCCCGCCCTTTGCAGCTATAACAGCTTCAACTCTTCTGGGAAGGCCATCCACAAGGTTTAGGAGTGTCTATGGGAATGTTTGACCATTCTTCCAGAAGCGCATTTGTGAGGTCAGGCACTGATGTCAGATAAGAAGGCCTGGCTTGCAGTCTCTGCTTGAATTCATCCCAGAGATGTTCTATCAGGTTGAGGTCAGGACTCTGTGCAGGCCAGGCAAGTTCCAATGATTTGGAGGGCTGTCCCAATACTTTTGGCAATATAGTGTATGTGTCTATTATTATTATTATTATTATACAGTATTTATAAAGCGCCAATAGTTCGCTCAGCGCTGTACATTACAGAGGGGGACAGAACATGTGACAGAACAATACCAATACAATGCAAAACATGAGGGGATTGAGGGCCCTGCTCTTTCGAGCTTACAATCTAGGAGGATGTGTCTATGGGCGGCAAATGTCTCTGTGCTAAGAGTGCACTTACTGCGCACTCCCAACATGGAGACTGAGCTGTCAAAGACAGCTTTCGGTCTGTACTAATGATCAGGAACCAATGGAATCCTCTCCCAATCATGTGACCACTGCAACAGCCAATAACAGTGCTCATATGACTTGGCAGCTGGCATATGATCCCAGTTAAAGGGACACCAGGGCAGGCAGGAAGGGGTTAAAAATGAGGCTAGGTTCCCATCTGTATGGGTGCGGGAGTGCGTGTAAATCGCACACGTTCCTGCACCCTTACAAAAAACATGCTGCTTTAAAGAAACCGCGTGGGGGCGCTATTAACATTTAATGGCACCCTCATGCACTGAAAAATGCGGTGCTATTTCCTGCACACAGAAAAACATGGTGCCAAAGCATTTTCTGTGTAGCTGCGTTTTAAATCAGGTTCAGGAAACATAAGTACCGCAGCCTATTCTAATGAATGTGTTGCTGGATCCATGCAAACGCACAACTGCTTAGATGTGAATATAGCCTAAGACCTGCAGTGTTTCCATGGGCAACAGCTTCACTTATATTCCAATTTTTGCACATCTGCCCAATTACGTTTGGGTGTGTTGGAGGGGACAGTTCTCTTTAGCCAATGATCAGCATTTGATGAGGGACTTGCCCTGAGTAAATATAGTGCAACCCACTATATCTGCTGGCAGTGGGTTGTATTAGATGTAATCAGAAGTCCTTCTCTTTGACAAGATGTACTTACTCCTATGGATAGCAACTAGCAGGAACTGCGACTCGGAGCTGCACCGGCTGCTTTTCTGGGAGATCTGCTCCGCCCAGCTCCTCTCCCCAGCCCCACCCCCCAGCTGTGCAACATGCAAGGGTGTCAATGCATGCTGGAGGGATTGCCAGTACCGATGTGCCCACAACAATGAGCCGACTCAGGTGCTGCGGTTTAGCGATCCATAAGTGAAACTTTCCATATCATTTCCCAGGACAAGGCGATGGCAGGACAGTCGGCAAGTATGTATGGGGAGCCACAGCCCAGGT